GACTTTTCTGTCAGTAAGAACAACATATTAAATTTTTGCTTAACTGATAATTTACTTCAAGCTTTGAACTTATTTCCATAAAAAGTATACTATGAGAAAATTCAAAATTTCTCAGATTTGGTGTTTAAAACATTTATGTGAGTGAGAGCAAGATATTACATTTATAAACATTTAAATGTATTCTTGGAATTATGCTAAATGCAATGACAATAAGCTGATTATGAGAATGAGCTCTCGTTATGAAGGAATAAAGTGTATTATCCTCAATCCTTAATTTTCCATTTATTTCACATTTGTATCAAGTCACTTCAAATAAAAGACTGCTGCTACTAAATGTTATCACTATATATTACTTTTAGAGAAAGAGAAGTAATATGTAATAAACTGTGCCAAACACAATTTTGTGGTTATATCGTATCTTAATTATCTCCATTTAATTTATCTAATGAGAGAATTTTAACTGTATGTGGTATGCTGTGGAACATTGGCTGCTTTGTGATAGTCCTCTTTAATGACTGGTTTGAAAATGCATTCATTAAATTCAAGTAAAAAATTATTTAGAACAGCAAAACATGAGCTCCTAATTCTCAATAATGCTCCAGGATGCAGTACTGAAGCTCTCACCATGTTGCATCCAAATGTAGAAGTTTTATTCCTCCTACTGAACACCATTTCTTTAATCCAACCAATGGATCAGAGAATCATCAGTAAAACCTTTAATATACAAGTAGTTAAACAAATTGTTAAAAACGCACAGAAACTCTGATTTTATAACAGAGATTGACCCAAATAAAAATTAAAAAAGGGTGGAACAGTTTATGAGAGGTATTGAAAAAGGTTTGTATTCCTTACAATGAAATGTTTAATGTTTAATAAATCATGTCAGACATTATCCCAAGCAAAAATCACCTGGTATTAAAAAAAAAAAAAAAAAAAAAAAAAACTAATTTTAATAGAAATCCTTTTAATTAGTAACATTTTTTTAATTTTTATTTTTTATTTATACCCTTTTAATGGCCATAATATTTAGGTTTGTAAAAAGTATAAATACTTCCTTACTTTGAACTATTATATCTAACTAGTTTTTTTCATAGAAACTTAATTTTGTGGAATTTGATTTTGCCATGTGCACTGCATTGGGAATTCTAATGCTGCTTTTAAAAGTTTTGTGATTTTTAAGTCATTGATTTGTGACATTATATAACTAGAGGATATACTATGAGTTATGTGTTATTTTCAAATAACATATTAGAGATGAGAATGGATGTGCTCATGAGCTTGTATGCCCATTGGAGAACGGGATAATAAAAATCGAGTAGTGTCTAAAATTAACATGGAGCCATATTATTAGAACTAGATTTTATTTACAAACGATTAGCCAGAAGTGATAATTTACATAAGCTTTTTGTTATTCTGCCAATTGTATGCTTTAATGTGGAATTGGTGGGAAGTCATTAAGAAACATCAAGTTGGCCACATCAAGTTTTAAATCAATCAAATTAACCCTCTTTTCAGTTTAATGTGATTGAACAATGAATTATGTTATATATCATAAGTTAAACTGTATAAGTTTCTTTTTAAATTAGTACTTCACAATGAACTATTGTAGATATTTCTACTGAAATTTAAAAAAAAAAAAGAGAATATTTGAAAGATCATGTAGCCAATCTGTTCAACCACAGGCAATAGAAATAAATCTAGGTACAATACTAATACTTTGCAATTTTAGCTGTTTAAACGGCTTTAGCTTTTAAGCCATTTAAACTGGTCGAGTGATAGAGTGTGACATTATTCTTGGAGCACCTTTTGGTTTAAACCAGAGCTCACTGGTTGTTTTATGAATTATTAAGCCTGCCTCATCTGAATTTTTTGAGGTCCTTTTTCTTAAAACACAGGGTATATGTATTATTGTTTTCTGCTGCTTTTCTTTGAATCTGGAGATTTGAGGGCAACTGCAACTTACTGCATGGCCTTGTAAATCTTACTTCAGTCAGGGCCTAATATTTTGAAACTTTACCTTCTCATATTTCCAGTTATAGATATTTATTAAAAAGTTTTTAAATGGATTAATTTTTCATATTTTTGAGATATTCAAGAGTTCTACCATACCCTTTTATTTTACACTTCAAGAACATGTCGCAGCCTGCTGATTTGAAACCGTCTTAATTAGATGCCTATGGTAGGTATAAAGGCACTTGTGATTCTGCAAAAATGATGTTACTGAATGAAAACAAAAAAGCTTTAAGGCTTCAAATTTAGTTTGTTTTTAAAGGTTTTAATTCAGAGGAACACCATAAAAGTTTAACATCATATTTGGGAGATGAAACTTTTTCATATGACACAATATTTAGATTGTGTACTAATTTTTAATTTGAAAATAATACTTGAGAAGATGACACACATGAATGGTATTATATCATCTCTGTTCTAGCAGAACATGCTGCAGCTGTGGAGAAGTTCTTCACTGAAGATCTCTATGTCACCTATGAGCAGAACAAGGACACTATAAGATCAGATCAGATAGTGTTAATTCTTTTTTTTTTTTTTTTTTCATAATTGCCCTGGTCTCAGAAAAGGATTTTCCATGTAAGTGTTCCATCTTCTCTCTGACCACTAGAGAGGGAGAACGCCAGTCATGAGAACTAGTGAAAATTTATAAAAAAATATAAGAAACAATAATAGTTTGAATATTTTAGAAACTGCTGCTAGTGACAAAATTTGATGAAAAGTATAAACCATTGATGAAACAGCCATGAACAGTTTAATGTTTTTTAATAAAAAATTGCTACTGGGAATTAAAAAAAAAATCTTGTACATTTCGTTTATAGAAACAGTCAGCTTTAAACTGTGAAGCTAAAGACACATGATACTTTTATAAGGAAATAATATGCAAGTTTTTGGTTTACCTGAAGTGCTTCAAAAATAGTCCAAAACTTAAGTTGTAAGCTGGTATCTGAAGACTATTTGCATCATTTCAGTGCACTTTCCCATACAGCTGCAAGAATGATGGAATTTCTGCAGAATGAAATAGTAGTGATTCTACCATACCCACCGTACTGCATGACTCAAAAAACTTTTTTTTTCCCCCCCTCTTTGATGAGGAAGGAGCAAGAAAATAATTTTCTTTACCAAATGAAGCTACAGCAGCTCTTGAGCAAATAGTTTTAGGAGCAAGAAACAAAATCAGTGGTTTGATTGTTTCATATTGACTTAAACATATTTAAAGCAATTTAATCGATGTTTTAAACAATAAAATAGAATTAAATAGAAATATGCAATAACTGTTTAATTTTTTTTATCTGTTTTCAATTATGAGTACCTCAAAAACTTTATCTCACACAGTTTGTAATTAATAGTAATATTGCAAAATACATCAATTTACCAATGAATTTTCTTGCTAAGCAGTTAATGTGATTTTTTTAAAGATAGATTTTAGAGATTAAAAGTAACAAATGCTGCTGAAAATTCTGGCAGTTTTATTGAAAGTAATCTTATTCATTGTCTTAACAAATAAAGTTATTGTATGAACAGGCCATTTTAATTTCTGGATGATTTTCATGAGTGTTTTGATGATTTTATTTCAATAATTACATATAAATAAACTTTTTTAGGAGTATCTTCTATGAAAGCAATTTTTGTATGTTTTGCCATAATAAATTACCCATCTTACAAACTTTAATTTTGAAATTTGCAGTGTTCTCTTTTGTGTTTTTAAATTATTTATTTTATAATTTTACAACAAACTACTTTATAATATTTTTGAAATAAAATTATAAAACAGGAATATTGGTATATTTATTTGTGTAATATTTTGTACTTCTAGAAGTCCTTACATACATATTTTTGTTCAAGAATTCTAATAGTTAAAGAAAAATCTCGAAATAACCTGTATATATATATATATATATATAGATGTAAGACATAACAAATATGATAGCGTTCAAATATAATTGATGATCTCAAATTAACATTCTAAATTTGGTGATCTGCCCCTAAATTCATTTCTTCTCACAGGTTCCAGATTTTTTCCGGATTTTTTTCCAGGCTCCAGATCTTACGTAAAGTTTTAATGCAGATGCCTCTTCTCGAATCAAATTAATTGTAAACCAAAACTCTGAACTAAGACTATTCCGAGTCCCACCCTTCTTCCTCTGAAGTACTATGATACTCTCCCCTTTTCCGCATAACTCGCTTGCTGGGAAGACGCTTTTAAACCATGCTGCTGCTGCTTACTTACTTAAGATGACGTTCTAATTCAGAATGTAATTTACGTATTCAAATACAATTAGGAAACATCTTGTCTGAAAAAATATGATTTGATATGCATGGAAAAAACAAAGATTGTGATTTTTTAAGATATGTTGTGCTAAATTGCGTCATCATGCTTTACACTCTGCCACCTTCAAGCCACTACGGTCTTCTCGGTCATCTACGCAGTATCGTAAGCTGTTGAGAGTTTTACTGCTTTCATCTACGCATTTGGAATCATTACATATATATATATATATAAGTAGTAGAATAACTCGATTTCGCACTAAGTGAATTTAAGATCATACAACATTATATATATATAATGAACATTATATATATATGATGAATTTATATAAATTCATCAAATTGTATATAACCTTGCTTTTATTTATGCAACCAAGGTTTTCTAAGCTCATGAAAGCAATTAACCGCTGAATTATCAGGATGAAAATGAGTATTACTAAGTCATAATTAGAGTTGTAGGTAAATACTTGAAAATTTTTATTTCTTAAGTAATGTATAATCGATTGCTTCAAACATGAGGATTGAAGGTCCACAAGTGGGATAAAAGGATCTGAAATAAGATTTTGTGTTACATTTTAGAATATCTTCAGTCAGTTTTTGATTATGTTTTTCAGTTAAAAAGTCAGTTTTTGATTATGCTATATATTATAAATGAATATAAACTTTTTCACTTCTTAAAGTGAAATTAACTTTAAGATTAATCTTTTATTTATATTTATTTGTATATTTCAGTAGTATATGAAAGAGAATCTCCAAACAGAATTAGATTTTATTAATGAAGCTATAAACATGGAGAGATGTGCCAAAGATTTGAAGCATTTATCATTTGTTCATGTTCCCAAGGTTTATTGGAATATGTCTTCTAAAGTGAGATTCTTTGAAGTTAATTCTGTATTACACTGGCATATTTTCATACCTCTGTGTCTCATATGTTTCTGTTGCTTTTTATTGGGAAATTAAGTCAAACATTGAGAAAACCACATGGTATTGAGTTCCATCATTGTTTTTAATCTTCTAATATCATAATTTTACTTGAAAAATGTTAGGGACATTGAAACCTCTGTTCATCAATTTAATTTGTTCCTGAAGGTCTTTTATTGTCTGTAATATTCATAGACTAAAACTATTTTACCCAATGTAAAATGAACTAATCCATTCCTAGACCACGAATGATTGCTTATTTAAAATTTACTACACTACTTTGGGCACAAATTCATAACACAAAAATAACACAATCATTACATCTAAGACAAAAAGATAAACATAATATTAAGTAGTTAAATAAAAATGCAATCTAATTGTATTCTACTAATAGGAAGGAGAGGGAATAGTATAACTAGAAAATGACACATAAGTGGAAAGAAAGAGATGTAATCTGAGAAAGAAAGAGATGCAAGTTCCTTTTATAGAAACAACAAGTAACTCTCTATCTTAGTTATTTTCTTTTTTCTCTCTTAATGCCACTTGACTCTGCTCAAGATTTGTTGGATCTTCATTTCACTCAAAATTTGGCCAGTGTTTTGTTATTGTCAACATTTTAAAGTGTGTCTAAATTGAGTCATATAGTACTGCCGTCAAAAATGCTTTGCTGTAGCTTGTTACTGCATTAATGTAATTACATGAAACTGTATTTTACCCATTTTGCACAAATTTAAGAGCTAGTTTCATCTTCTTTCCATTCTTCTTCCTAAGAAGACACTTGGTCTTTTGTTACTGCTTCTGAAGGTGTTCCTGTTCTTTCTTATCAATCTCATTTTTATGGTCCTGTAGTAACTCTTCATTGTTAACTTTCAGGCCCACAGTTTAGCCTAGAGTGAGTGAGTGAGTGCACCGCTATGATGGCTTCCGACCACGGACATGAACCAAACGGAATTATATACCATCACGGCGGGGAAGACTCCAGAGTAACAAGGTTGAATATTATAAACTAATAACAGTTTTTACATATTGTTAACTGCAAGGCACTAAGCGTTATTCTGGTTATCTGCTTTAAGTTCTGAACTTTTGAAACATTATAATATTATCCACGGTTGTTTCTGCTAAGGCAGTGTTCTGAGATTTCTCTATTTTATCAAGGGCTATTCTGTTTTTGAGTGTGTTAGTCGTCGTCCACATTGCCCAGGCACCAGTTGCTGGTTTCTTCAAGTGCCAGGTTCTTGTATGTACACAATGGAAGTAATAATGGTCCGTGTCGCCTTCCTCTCCGCATTCGCAGAAAGGAGTATCCCTAAGTCTGAATCTGTTCAGGTATACTGGGAATAGTCCATGACCTGTCAAGAACTGTGTTAGGCTAGCACAGTGGGTCTTTATTTCCATGTTAACTTTTGGCAGTAAGCGAAATGTCCTTCGTCCTACCTCTGCCTCTGTCCATCTACTTTGCCAATTTTGTAGCAGACTTGTCAAAGTTGTTCGTTTAATATGAGACCAATGAAGTTTAGTTGGTCTTTCTAATATATCCGTGCAGTTGGCTGCCTGCTTGGCCAGTAGGTCAGCAGCTTCATTGCCTTGAATCCCTGTGTGAGCGGGAACCCATTTTAAAGTGGGTCTTTGCGAAATAGGTATTGTCAGAAGCTGTTTCTGAATTCTGTATACCAATGGACTCCGGCTGTTTAGTTTAGCCTAGAGATATAATATTATAGATTTAAAAAATAATTAAAGAAAAGAAAACTTAGTGCTAAAGCCTTCAAAATATTGCCAAAATACAATCTGGCAATAATATCCTCCAGGCCAAATTCATGGTCCTTAAATGTTCCTTGATGCCAGGCTTTGGTAATCAGAATTAAGCAACAAAATGAATTAAACTGATGTGTATAATAGTACCTGAGTATTAATTTTTTGTCAGAGGTTACCACTAAAAATCTTTTAAAATTATGCATTGCTGACTTAAGTGCTCCTAGCAAGATACAGTTCACTTTTTGTTCAAATAATTGTTTGTGATGAGAGACATGTGATCTGAAGCTCCAATGTATTATTAAAAATATTAAATTTGTTTCAAAATAATTCATATTGCCATCTTCAAAATGAATATATTCGAAAGTGAAATTTGACATAAAGTTCTAAATTTTATGGCTTATTTATAAATGCTAGTATTATTTTGGTAAATTAGTAACTGTGCAGCTCTTTAATAACTTTCTAAATGTTTAAATTTGAATATTTTTTTATTTATGTTTACTAACAAATCAATTTCTGGGTAATTGAGGTATTTAAGAAAAAAAACTTTTGCGGTATGTTACAAAATAATTTATAAATAAGGAAACATGAAGCAGAATTTTCATTCTAAAGATTACATTTGTGAAGAGATTAGTAATCAGTCTTTGGTCCTTTTGAAAAGTGTTATGCAGATGTAAAATTGAGTGTCAAAACATTAGATACAGTTTTAATTTAAAGTTTTGTTTCCTCCCCTTGTGATGAAAATCATGTCACTCAAACAACAGATGTGTGAGGTCACAATTATGAGTGAGATTTAGGTTGAATTGAGTGATCACATTTAACTATTGGCACCTGGTGTATAATAACTTTTGAGATAGTATATGTTCTTGGAGGGAAGGTAAAGGATTATAGTATTTGAGTTTAGGGCAGACATCCAAAGGCGGTGTAAAATTAGAAGTATTTTGTTGAAAATTTTAGTGCTCAGGAAATCTTCTTTCTCCATAATAATGCACAAAGATATTATTACAGAGCATTTCTGCTCCTTTCATATCCCCATATGAGGATTTTTGTACTAACGCTGTGATTCTTTCTTGTTGAGCATGAGAGACGCCATATTGACTTTTATAAGCTTTGATGATCTTTGCATCCCTCAGATTAAAACCTCACTGAATGCTTGTGAGACACTATACGTAATAAATGCTTTGCAGTTACATTCAACTAACAGGATTGCTATGTAGGTAATAATATATCTGGTTAGTCAGATAATCACGTAACATTTCAGAATATCACTGATTAATTACTATATTAAGTAACTGTTGTTATTTAGACAAGGAAGTGAGCTACACATTATTAGTTATTTATATCTAATGTTTTGAAAAAATAATTTCTATAACAGATTTCTCACACACTGATATAGTTGCAACGATGTTACTGTTACAGTGGTCACTTTAGAAATGTGATTTTCTGTATTAGTTGTATTATTGATTTTCTTGTATTGAATTTCTGTATTAGTTTTTGTTTATTTTTTTTTTTAATATACTGTTTTCTAGAATATGCAATGACTTATTCATTGAAAACTTTAATAGTATGCCTTTGTATTTAAGGAGCACATAATAAATATCATTGAATAACTTTTTTTCCATATCATATTGTTTGTTTTTGAATTCACTCCTAAGTTAATTTCTCTTTTCAGCGAATTTTAACTGCAGAATTTATTGACGGAGTTAAAGTAGATGATATTGAAGGGATAAAGAAAATGGGATTAGATATTGCTGATGTAAGTTCCAGTACTGAGAAAGAATTGAATTTAAATTTTCAATTTTTTTAAAAATATTATATGCATACATTTTTAATGAGGATAAAATTATATTCAGTTTAATTTCAGTTTTAAAAAGTTTAATTTTTGTTTAAATTTTAGGTTGGTAAGAAGATGGTTCGAGCTTTTGCTGAGCAGATTTTTCATACAGGATTTGTTCATGCTGATCCTCATCCTGGAAATGGTAAATAGACATTCATTTCCCTATAATTTGATTTCCCCCTGTCAGTGAATGGGTATCAAAATTTTATTTCAAAAGAAATTTCCATTTTTATTTAGAAATCTTGTTTTTTTATAGTGAATAAAAATTTACTATTGTGTAAATCTTTAGACTGTATAGTCATATAATGATGTAATAAATTCTCAATATCCTTGGAATTCTGCTAGCATCAAAAACTTTTCAAATTTTGATATTAGCTGTCTTAAAAGTATTGGGTACTTCTGGTAACCTTAAAGTGGCAAATAATCATCTCAAACTTTATTCCTTTAATTTTCTAATCTCTGTAGTTAGTTTTTAATAGGAATGAAGTTATGTAATCATGTCAGGTTCATAAATTTTAGGTGTTAACCTTAAAAAATATAGTAATTCAAAAGCACAAACCTGGTCAAACTATGTAAATACATTTAACAGTATTTGTTGTAATGTTTTTAAACAGGTGCATATATGTCCATCTTGAAATGTATTCAAGCTATTAAGGCAGTACAGTGAAAGGAAAAGAATCGAGATTACAGTCGTGTTGTTATTTATTCGGAGCAGGAAACATGGGACATTAGTGAGACTGAAATTAAAACTCTAAACCTTCCTGGTGATAGTTGTGCTTCCAATTACACCACAAAAGCATTAGTTGAGGAGGAAAATTCCATATATTCTTCCTTACTTACAGGGCAACTGGGGAGGAGCGGAACCCAGTGGCCTAAACCAAATGGTGATGAATTATCATTCACACATTTAGTTTGAGAGCCACTTGTAGAGTCATTAATTTGAAAGCAAGAAACATTAAAAATTGGCAATGGTCTTACCAAGATTTGAGCTTTGAACTTTCCACTGCTAGCTGAACATGCTTCTAGTTACACCATGTAAGTGTATGTAGAAGAAGAAAAAAATCCTTATTCACTGATTGTGATTTTACAGCTGTGACAAAGAAAATACCTCTTTTACATGGATTTTGAGGTGTTGGGACTAAACCCTTTGAACAGTTGAAGGGTTAATCTTTGCAATAAAAATAATTGCAGAGATCATTAAAATATTATTTTGTTAGTTGCAAATTTAAACATCAGATATTTTTATTTTAGCTAACCAGGATTACTTTTTTAAGTGGATTTCTAGGAATACAATATTCAAAGAGAATTTTGTTCTACTGCAGTTGCACCGACGATCAAATGGCTAAATCTACTTGTAAACATTGGTAGTTTCATCTGGAGTTAAGTTTAATAAATTTTCTTCATAATTAATGTAAGTATGAGTTGGCTTCTTTTAAAGTAACTTTTGGAAAGCTACATCTTTTAAATGCATTCTTTTAAATGCATTGTGTTTTTCCAGTAATGAAGTGCCTGACCTATTTTATTGGAAAATCAACAAATATTTCTAGAGCAGTCTTCTGAGAACTAAAGTTAACCACTAAAAAAATTATTTTCACTCTTTTGTTGGAAAATATAAAAATTTTCGTTTTTCAAAAATTAAATCGAGGGAGGTCGTACACTAGAAATTTTAAGTATAGAAAGAAACTGAAGGATTTGAACTTATTTGAATAATGTATTTGCATATTTGATTTCAGTTTGTTAACAGAAAAGTCTTCCTCAATGCTATCTATTTAGCATTGTCATAAAATTAAAAAATTGTTTTCATTTTGAAATTTTGCCATGGCCAAAACTTATGGGCGACTGTACGTTAAGTATAGAGTATGTTGTGAAAGTACTGGTTCAGAAACAAAGGCCTGTTATTACCTTTGTACAGATGTTCCTTTTACCCTCTTCATGTAACATCATGTTAAAGGCTCTCATTTTATGAGTGAGTGTAATTTATTATTATTATACGTTTTTTATTATGGAATGTATTAGTGCAATTTACAAAAGCCAGTTACCTTATGCAAGGAACAGAGGCCTTTTAAAGTAACTGCCTTAGCAGCCCTGAGCCACTAGTGTAGAAGAAGCACTGGTTAGCTCGAGAGAATAGCCCTTCTGATGCAAATGCTTGTTTAGAAGTACTACAAGGCCTTTCAATTTGTTAAAACCAGAAATTGCCAATGAAAGGTAATAACAATGAAACCATAATTTCTTCAAATGTTACTCTTATTATATATATGATGTTAAAATATAATTTATCAATATGGAAATTAGTATCATAAATATTTATGTGTCTTACATTTAATTAAAAGTACCGTATTTGAAGGCATATAAGATATACTGGCATATAAGATGCACCCTTATTTAGAAGGCCACACACAAGGAAAAAAAGTTTCAATAGTCTGCGCAACAGCATGGTACCACAATAACTTAAAATGTAGTTTCTTTTAGTTCTCACGTTTCGTAAAAGCCAAATAAACAATCATTGAATGCAATTACCAAACATATTTTTATTAAGGAAAATGAACCAACGGCAAGCTATTTTGAACATGATATGTAAATTTCAATAATGAATAAATGGATGAATGGCAAGCAATAAACATAATACAAAATAAAGCAGAAATAACAAAAAACACAGATTCAAGGAAAACGTTGCCTATCATGAAATTAGACTTTAATCACTTTCAAAACCATCAAAATCCTTTTCACTATCATCATCAATGAAAACGAGAATATCGTCATCACTACTGTTTCCGTCATCGTTAGTATCACCTTCTTCGAATAATTCGTCATCTTCTATTCTGTCAAGAGTATTACTGATTCCGCACTTCTTAAAGGATTTAACAATGACTTCAGCCTTTACGTCCTTCCAAGATCTTTTTACTCACTCGCACACTTGTGAAATAGAGGGCCGCTTCATTCTACCTGAGGGTGTGTGGGTGTGATGTGGCTCTCCTATCCACTTGTTCTATCGTTCTCGCACTTTTTCCTTCAATGGCTTATTCAGTTATGCTTCTAAGGGCAATTGGCTAGTCAAACCACCAGGAATGACAGCTATCTGGGTTTTTAATTCTCTCGCCTTATTCTTTATGGTTTCAGTTCTATGGGCGCTAAACTGATCCAAAACCAAAAGAGAGGGTTTTCAAAAGAGTCCACCAGGTCGCATCGCCCATACGTTTTGTAACCACAGTTTCATTCCAGCTTTGTCCGTCCAGCCTTTCGGATGAACATGAACAATTACACCCGTTGGAAGTTTTTTTTCAGATGAGTTTTTCTTTTGAATATGAAAAACGGCGGTAGTTTTGTGCCATCGGCACAACATGTTAGAAATACCGTATATTGGGTTTTTTCATGACCTGTGGTTTTTATGGTTATTGATTTAGACCCTTTAATACTCACAGTCTTGTGGATGGTACATCAAATGTGAGTGGAATTTCATCCATATTTCCTATTTGACCGAGCTCAAAAGAAGTTTTCTTGCATGCATTTATAACAAACCTATGAAATGCAAGCATTTTTTCTTCATAATCTGCTGGCATTTTCTGTTCAATAGTTGTTTTTGTGCGCATTGATAAGCCTTCCCTTTTTTTAACCTGTAGCACAAGCCCTCAGGCCTTGAAAAGTTCTGATTCCCATGTTTTTCTGCAAATCCTTTGGCCTCATTGATTATCATTTTGGTTAAAACACTTATCACAGATTTCCTCTTATCACCCACATTTTTACGGCATTTTCAAGTTCAGGCCAAGATGGAGCTGGGCATCGAAGGTTATGTTTTTGTTTTTTAGCAGTCTTCAGTTGATCTTCCTGCAGTCGCCAAGTACGTATAATTTTTTCCATAGGTGCTGCACCGAAATACCTTGCTGCTGCTCTGTTTCCTTGCACTTTGGCGTAGTTTAAAACTTTTAGTTTATACTGAATTGTATAGCTTAATATCTTGTTTCCTGTAGTCATAATTTCCAGGGTATTTTTTTAAAACAAATAGTTTTAAGCACCGATAGTCTATGTAAAGAAGGAAAGGCTCCATAGACATAATATGACCGTCGAACCTGTTCGAACTTTGACATCAGCTTCGAGCTTTGGTGCTTTTTGGCGACAGATATTTCATGCATGCGCAAAATAATTATGGCAGATAAAGAAAAAGTTATGTGTGTCTAGACTTTTATCCGGGCTAAAAATAGCATTCAGTACTAAAAGTTAACCTCTGTTCTTCACGTATAGGACGCAAGTAACTTTTTTGAGACCAAATTAAAAAAAAATAGTGCGTCTTATATGCCGTCAAATACGGTAATCATTATGTAAAAGTTTTTATTTCTGATACTCTGTGATAACAAGAACCTTCCCTGAAGAACTATGATTATGTGAACTTTCAAACAAAAAGACTTTGAACTGAAATGCTGAAAAATTTAAAGGGACTCTAAAAATTAAATTTATTTTTAAAAAATTGATATTTGCAATTTATACTTTATAGCTATTTAATTAATTATATTGATAAAAATTTTATGATTTATGTTTTTCTTCATTTGCTAGTGCTTTAATGCTTTTTCTCTCAAAATGCTCTCCCAAGCCTTCTTTTGAAGGGAAAGAATATGTAAGATATAATAAAATATTATGGCTATGCATCCAAATAATTAGCAACCTCAAAATTAACTATTCTAAATTTGATGTTCTTCCCCCAAGTTCTCCCAAATTTGAGATCTTTCCATGTGCAATTAACCAATAGAGTTTAGTTGTACATATGCACCTACTTAGTATAAATTCTCTTCGCAAGCAACTACGTCATTCGTTTTCCTAACTTCTGCCATGCAAACATCTCTGCGCTGCTAAGCTTTCCTGTCTAATGTACATTTAAAACCTTTGTACCTTTGTACTTTTAAAACCAGTGTACATAAAAATTATTTTGTTTAAATATGATTAGATAAATTCCTTGTCCACAAAAATGATCTAATGTGAATTATTTTGGGATAAAATTATGTTTTGAAATAGCCACGTCTGGAAGTTTTTGCTTTGTACGTCCAGCTATCTAACTACACAGACTTCAAGCTGCAGGGCATAAACATATCCACCCTCAGCCATGATGACTGCAAGCTGCTAAACGTACCAGTGTCTACTACACACTTAAAA